GGGGGGGGGGGGGGGGGGGGGGGGGGGCGAGCCACGGCTCCCCGCCGCGCGGGACTGGGCGCCTCGACACCGAGATCCGCACACCGGACGCCGGCCGAGGGTGGGTGTGGGTGACCGTCCGGACAGTGGCATGTGTCCGGACAGCCGTGCACAAGCACCCCCCGGGCCGGGGTGTCGTCGCGTGTGGGGCGGTCTCAATGCGGCTGGGCCTCAGTCTCGTGCGCGCGTGCGAGCAAGCGCGTGGGGACCTGCGCGCCGAGGGGCTTCGACGGAGGAGGCAGGGCCGGCCCATGGGCGCCGATCAGGCCCGAAGGCCATCGTCGGCAAGGGCAGGCTCCCTCGGTCCCGTCCTGTGGACGCCCACTCGGCGTGCTCCCCCCCCCCCCTTCCCCCCAGCCCGAAGGCGCCACGCCCACCATTGGAAGGGGACGACTAGGCATGGGGCTGCTCACAAGCATTCACAGCACCACCGCCGTGTCCCCTGCTCTCGGGGCGTGCCCCCCCCCCCAGGGGAGGGACGAGAGTGTGGCCGGCCGGCCGGCCCTCGCCCTCCCCTGGCCGTCCGAGTGGTGCCCCAGGTGGCGAGGTCGTCCGCGAGACGCCACCCGTGCGCACAGGCACATATATGCGGGCTCAGTAGCTTCTGCCGGGGCCCGAGGAGGCGGCGCTCCGGCGGGGTCGGCCGTCGGCCGAGTGCTCGACGGCGGCGGTGGCGGCGCCGGTTCTGCCGGCCCCCCGGCCGGCCTCGTCCATGTCCATGTCCTGCATGGCGGCGTCCGAGTCGCGGGCTTGCTTACTGCCGCCGGAGAGGGAGGCATCGGGGCCGGATCGGCCGCGCTTGCCCGGGTGGCCACCGCCGCCGGATCCGCCGGAGGAGGCCGCGACCCAGGGCGCGTCGCGGATCTCATCCGGGCCGCCGGGGCACTTGGAGTTCAGGTCGCTGGGCAGGTCGCCGAGGGTGCCCCAGTGGCCGGCGGCCTCCAGGGCTTGGAACATCTTGCGGGCGGCCTCCACGCGGTCTTGCTTCCGGCCACGGACCTTGGTGGCGTAGTTCTTCAAGAACCAGTGGGCCGACTCGCGAATGCCCTCCTCCAGGGGGATGAACTTGTAGCCGGGCATGAACTCCTGGAGTTTGGTGTTGGCGGCGGTCTTCTTGAATTGGCCATCGGCCTTGGTGGTGTCGAACTTGAACTTGCCCTTGAAGGCCATGGACTTGCCGACCATGGTGGCCACCTCCTTGATGGAGAACTCGTCCTCCTCCGAGACGGACAGGATGATGGGCTCGGCCCCCTGGTAGTGGCGCAGGGAGCTGATGGTCAGCCGGGCCAGGTCGTGCGAGTGGATGAACTGCCGCCGGGGGGCGCCGGTGCCCCAGACGTCGAAGTCGCGCTTGTCGTCGATGGTCAGGAACATCCGGTGGATGAGCCCGGGGATGACGTGGCTGTCCTCGAGGTCGAAGTTGTCATGCGGCCCGTAGACATTGGTCGGGATGACGGTGGTGAAGTCGCAGCCATACTGGTCTCGGTAGGCCCGGCTCGAGACGTCGACCATGCGCTTGGCATAGGCATACCCGAAGTTGGACGAGTGGGGCGGGCCATTGTGGATCATGGTCTCGTCGATGGGGTAGGTGGTCTTGTCGGGGAAGATGCAGGTGCTCAGGCAGGAGATGACCTTCTTGACGCCGGTTTGGTGGGCCGCTCGCAGGATGTTGTCATTGATGGCGGAATTGTCGTTGTAGAAGTCGGCCTGGCAGCGCATGTTCCGGAAGAGGCCGCCCACCATGGCCGCCAGGTGGATGACGTGTGTGGGCTTGTGCTTTTCGAAGATGCCCCGGACGTGCTCGGCATTTCGCAGGTCCCCGTCGCGGCTGGACAGGAAGACCCATTTCTCGTGTGGGCGCCTGGCCCAGAGGCTTGGATCGGCCCCATGGCGGAAGCCTTGGTTCTTGGCCCCGGGGTTCTTGTTGCCGCCGCTGTTGCCGGGGTCGTTGCCCTCCTTGAGGAGGTCGCTCTCCGGATGATCCAGCACATGGGCAATGGCTCGACCGACCATGCCCGAGCCGCCGGTCACCAGGATGACGTGCGGGTTGGCGGCGGTAGGGACCGAGGTGGATGTGGTAACCATCTTTGTTTTTTTTTGTTCGGCGCGGCGGGGCGGGGCGCAGGCAATGCAAGCGCGGCGGGCGGGGTAGGGCGCGGGGAGGGGCAGGGGAATGCGGAAGTCCTCGTGGGTCTGTCCGATGGGGCGCGGGGGATTGACGGGTGACGAGAGGGCGGGGGAGGGGTGGAAGAGGAGCGGGGCTTGGTGGAAGGGTGCTGTAGCAAGGGGGGCCGGAGAGTGTTAAAAGGGGGAGGGCACGTGTGCGCGCGTGTATGAGCATCGGGGGGGGGGCATGGCAGGGGGGCAGCGGCGGCGAGTAGGGCAGGAGAGGCGAGAGGCGGGGCGGGGGCGAAGGGGAAAGGGCAAAAGATGGTGCGTGTGCCACTGAGCCGGCGGTTGCCAGCACGGCGTGGTGGGTACTTGCTCACCTGGAAGGCTTGGGGAAACTGATTGGGACGGGTCTTTCTGGTAAAGAAGGCTGAGGAGGAGCCCCGACAGGGCGGCCCTATTTATATGGGCCCCGGGTGGCCGTCGGCGTCGGGCGGTGCGCCGAAGGGTGCGTGCACTGGGCTGGCTGGGGAGCCTCGGCTGGCTGGGGAGCCTCGGCTGGCTGGGGAGCCTCGGCTGGCTGGGGAGCCTCGGCTGGTCGGGCGCCCTCGGCTGGTCTCGCCCCCCCCCCCCCCCCCCCCCCCACCCCCCCCCCCCCCCCCCCCCCCCCCCCCCCCCCCCCCCCCCCCCCCCGCAGGGGCCTTTCTCTTGCCGGCGTGCTCCCTCCCCCCCCCCCCTCCCCCCCCCCCCCCCCCCCCCCCCCCCCCCCCCCCCCCCCCCCCCCCCCCCCCCCCCCCCCCCCCCGGCGCAGGGAGGGGAGGGGGCGGGCCAGGAGCCCCCCCCCGCCGCGGCGGCCAACCCGCCGGCCCAATATACATGTGTGTCAACATAGAGGGCCTCGTTCATACGTGCGCGCCCACACACGCACCGGCCCCTGGCCAACCTGTGTCCGGGGTGCCGGACCACGCCAGGCCACGGGGCCCACATTGGGGGCGGCCCAATGCGGCAGACAGGCTCCCACGCCATCCCGGCGAACGGCCCCGCGATCGGCCATCCTGCAAAGGCAGCCCACCAGGCCGGGCCGCCGGCCGGGGAAAATCCACCAACGCCCCCGCCCACGCCGACACGAGGTTTCACAGGCACAAACATGCCCAAACAGTCTAAACAGTCGGATATCACGGCGACCTCGGCGCTCCGAGCGCCAGGACCTTCGCTGCAGGGCATTTTACCCGGCACCGAGGATGCTGCGGCCCCTAGATCGCGAGGTCGGTTTTTCCGCGCCTCCCACCCCCGGTCCCTGGATCCCCCCGGGCGACAGCTGCCTCCCGGCGAGGGGGCGGGAGGGGGGGGGGGGCATGCGCCGAGATCGCCCTCGGGATGCCCTCTTCCAGCCCCTGCCCTGCCCTCTTCGCCGCGCCAGGCCGGCCGTCACCCTGCGCCCGGCGGCCCATGTCTCTGCGCCCGCGGCCGTCTTCGGGCCCTCTCGCGGCGCCCCCCCCCCCCCGGCCGCTCGCCCGGCCGCCTCCCGCGCGCCACTTGCCCCGGCCATCTAGGGGGAGGGTCTGCGGCTCGGCACCCTGGGAGGCCATGACAGGAGTCGTGACTCGGCAGCGAGCTTTCTTGCCCTCCTGCGACCCCCGGCCCGCCCCCCATGCCGGGGCCTGGCCGGTGCGGCGGCGCAATGGGCGGCCTTTCGGCCCCCGGGGCCCTGCGCTCTCCTCTTAATGACCTGCAGGGGGCGGGAAGGGGGGCCGGGGAGGACGGCGGTGCGTGTCCTGCAACGAGGTTGCCGGAGATGTTCCGCCACCGGGCGGCAAGGCCCTGGTGATGATGCGGGGAGAAGGCCCCCCCCGGCGGCGGCGGCGGCGGCGGCGGCGAGGGCAGCCCCGAGCTCGGGGGCCAAGAGCGGCCGGGGCGGGGGCTGGCGCTGCACCCTGGCCCAAGGGGAAGCCAGGTGGAGATGAAGTTAACCAGGGCATTTTCCCGCCCCCAACCAATGGCCGGCATTTCCGTGGCAAGAGGTAGGCCCCTTTCGGGCAAGGTGCCCTCCTGCTCCGGCCGGCCCGCTCCGCCGCCCCCCCTGCCCCCCGCCGGGTGGGGGGCCGCGCAGCCGGCCCGCGCCCCGGCGCAGCCCGGCGGCCCGGCCCGGTCCACGGCGCTACCGCGCCCGCCGAGGCAGGGCCATGGTGCTGGAAGGGGAAAGCCCCGGGCCGATGGTGGAGGGTGGCCGCCGGCCGGCCTCAGCGGACATGGCACCGGGGATTCCCCCGGGCGGCCGATGCGCGAGGGCGCGAGCACCTCCACGTCACGGCCGCCTGGGGCCGGAGCCCAGGGCGGGGAGGTGGGGGGGGGGGGCGCGGCTCTCGGATGCGGCCGACGATGGGAGCAGGCGGCGCCCGGCTCTGCCCCTTACTCCCCAGCTCAGCCATCCGGTCTTTTGTGCCGGCCTCGGCCGGGCCCCTCGGTGTGCGAGGGAAACAGAGCACAGGGGTAGGGTGGCTGACGGCCCGGCGCGGCCTTGGGTTGCCAGACCCCGTGGTGCATACCTCGCGCGTCGTCGGGGGGGGGGGGGGGTTCCGGGTCTGGAGCGCCGGCGCCCGGGGCATACTCCCGGCGCCCCTCGCCCCTCGCCGGGTCCCCCCCCCTCCCCCCCCGGGGTTCCCCAGCCCGTGTCCTGCGGCCCTCGCTCGGCGTCGTCGGAAGTTGCCGCGCGTGTGGCCCCGCTGGCAGTCTCTCCAGCCCGGCGGAGTGGTGTTATTCTCCCGGGGCCGGGGCGGCATTGCTCATGGGGTGCCGGCCCGGGCAGGCCGTCTTGCCCCGGGCGACGGTCTCTGCCTGCCCGGGCCGGCATCGGGCGGCTGTGCTCAACGAAGGCCACCCGGTCGCCGGCAATGGGCATGTCGGATTGCGCATGCAATGTGCGGGCGTCTGCGTGCGCATCACGGAAGCAAGCGACGGGACCGCGATCTACGGAGCCCTCGCGCGGGAGGGGGGGGGGGGGCGGGGGGCTGCGCGGCCGCGCGACGGGCCTCTACACTTGGGAAATGCAAAAAAAAAAAAGCGCCCACATCGTGGAAAAGGGGGGCGCGCTGCTCGGCCTGCCCCGAGGGGCAGAACCTCCCGCACTCGGCCCGGCCGGCTTCCTGCCTGCACCGGCCGAGTGCCGCCGCCCTCGCCGCCTTCCTGCGCCCGGCAGTCGGTCTCCCGGATGACACATTGACGTCAGATATGCCCGCCCCCCCCCCTCCCCGCCACCCCCGCGCCGCCCCGGCCAGGCTCCGTCGGGGGCCGCTGCTTCTTCCGAGCGGGCCTTCTCGGCCATATCACCCTGGGCGCTCGGCCGACCCCCTCTGCCCGAATGATGGACCATCCCATGCGGTGATTAAGGACCCGGACATTCTCTCCCGGGTCGCGGGCCACGCTGGATTGCATGGCTTCGAGCGAGCTGGGGTGGCCTTGGCGCGGTCACCGGGGCACCTGGGCAAGCGCGATCTGCCCGACCGAGCGGCCGGTGCGTGCCACAATTAATGCCACTCGCGCTGGCCCGGCCCCTGCATGCACAATGGCCAGCGGGTGTACATGCGTGCCGCTAGTCACCGCGCTCGAAGCGCGCTTCTCTCATCCGCCCCTCGCCCTATGTGTATGTGTATATTTATATGTATGTATGTATGTATGTGTGTGTGTGCGTGTGTGTG